AAAAAAACCGTCATCTTTACATATAATAGACGACCCTTTTTAAAAAAAAACCGTCATCTGTACTTCATAATAGACGACCTTTTTTATATAAAAAAACCGCCGTCTTTACATATAATAGACGACCCTTTTTATATGAAAAGGGTCGTCTTTACTTCATAATAGACGACCCTTTTCATATAAAAAGGGTCGTCTTTACTTATAATAGACGACCCTTTTTTAAATAAAAAAACTGTCATCTTTACTTATAATAGACGGCAGTTCTTTAAAAAAAACCGTCATCTTTACATTGATGACAGTTCTTTCAAAACAACCATGTCTTTACCAAAAAAAGGACACTTGATTTTTAATATACGAAGCTTATCATACCTGCTGTCGTTGTTTTTTGGTCAGATTTTAACTCTAAAGAAAACCTTTTTAAGACGACCCTTTTTTATTTGTGTGCGTCGTTATAAAAAAAAAAAATTCAACAGTACCTCCGTTTTTTAGTTGTTTAAGTCACTTATCCACAACGGTTTTTTGTTACCGTCGTCTTTTTTAAAACAATGACGGTTTTTGTTCTACCGTCGTCTTTTTCTGGTCGTCTTTTTCACTTTTTGTAGTAGTGAATAGCTACATTGTTGTGGGATATATGGATATGTGAAATGAATAATTATATCTTGTCATGAAAATTAATTGAAGATGTTGGGTGGAGAAAATAATGATGGAAAAGAGGGTAATGGAAATAGTCTTTTGTGTAGTTGAGTCTAACTCTTAGCAGGTACCAGGTCTCAGGGATCCCACAATGCACATAGTTTTTATTGGGTGATTCGGGACTGGCGAAAGGGAGTTAGACAAGATGACTAACAAAAGGGGAATTATGGGATGATTGAAATGGGTGTTAGTTCATATAAATGGGCATCCGGGACCAAGTGGTATAAGCATGGTATGGGACGTGCAGGTCTGCTTGTCCAGTTATAAGAATTAACGGGATTAGATGAAGAGCATTCATGCATTATTATTAATAATGTGATATTTGGATGTGTGGTTGTTTGTGTCCCCCCTAACAGATTTTGTAGGTACTGAACCTGAAATCTAGAGCTTGTGATGATTTTGGCATATCTATAGAGTGTAGTGTGTACATAGCTTGTGGATGAATAATGAACTACTCTTTTTGTGGATTTTCGAGTAGTTCTAACTTGTAAAATAATGTAAAATTTTTAAGATTTGAGATGTTGTCGTTTTTGCTGAATATTCTATGTGAAATATTTATTTTATTTACTTAAATGTTTCTTCACATTTTAGTTATAGTTTTTATTAAATTCTATAATTAAGGTGTGGATCACGTCTTAACCTAAGGTTACTTAAATCCGTGGGTTGGGGCGTGACAAGTATCAAAGACCCCATTTGAGCTGTGGACTAATAGAAAGCCGAGCCTCAACCATTTGCATATATCAGGGTGCAAGGCAAAAGCAAAAGTCTACAATCCACAAGAGAAGAAATTGGATCCCAAGACCATAAAGTTGTTTTTTTGTAGGTTATCCAGAGAAGACGTAGGGGTACATTTTTTATTGTCCAAATCATACAACAAGGCTTGTGGAAATAGGTAGGTCAGTTTTTCTAGAAAATGTCCATGAAGAAAGGAAGGCCACAAATTTCGTTTTTGAAAAGCTGGGTGAAATTGCAATTGAGCAAGCAAAGCAAAGTGTGCAAGTTCCACATATAAGTGAAATACAAGGAGAAGATTATGAAGATATGGAACCTAAACAAGAACATGAGAATGAAATTCAAGTCCAGGAAACTCAATATGCGACCAATGAAGTAGTTCAGCCACAAGAAGCACCAGCCCCATAGAGAAGATCTAACAAAAATATAAGACCAGCAATATCACAAGATTACGTACTGTACTTATAAGAATCAGAGTTTATGGCATCAGATTTTGAAGAACCCTTGTCTTTCAATGAAACAATTAATAGTTCAGAGGTATTGAAGTGGAGAGAAGCCATGGAAAGTGAATTAGATTCAATGAAAAACAATCAGGTGTGGGATTTAGTGGAGCCACCAGAAGGAGTGAAGCCAATAGGCTGTAAATGGGTATTCAAAACCAAGAAAGACTCAATGGGCAACATAGAAAGATTAAAGCTAGACTAATTGCAAAGGGTTTTACTCAAAAAGAAGGAATAGATTACAATGAAACTTGTTGCCTAGTTTCAACTAAAGATGCTTTTCGGATTGTCATGGCTCTTACTGCACAATATAACCTGTTTTTACATCAAATGGATGTAAAGACAACCTTTTTAAATGGAATACTGAATGAAGAAATATATATGGTGCAACCTGAGGGTTTTATAAAGGATGGAGAAGAGCATTTGGTTTGCAAACTCAAAAAGTCCATGTATGGACTAAAGCAGGCATCAAGGCAATGGCACTTGAGATTTGATGAAGTTGTAAGCTCACAAGGCTTCACATAGAATCCAGTGGATGAGTGTATTTATCTAAAATTTAGTGGGAGCAATTTCATCTCCTTAGTACTTTATGTCGATGATATCTTACTGGCCACTAACAATTTGTCTATGCTTGCTGACACAGTTTTTCTTGTCATCACATTTCGAGATGAAAGATATGGGGGAGGCGTCTTATGTGCTAGGAGTAGAGATACATAGAGACAGAAGTCGTGGTATGCTTGGTTTATCACATAATGGATACATAGAAAGAGTGCTTAAAAGATTTAATATGTTATCTTGTGCATATGGGGAAGTTCCTATTACAAAAGGAGACAAATGAAGTAGAGCTGAGAGTCCTCAAAATGAGTTGGAGAAGGAAGAGATGAAGAACAGACCCTATGCATCTTTAGTGGCAGCTTAATGTGTGCTCAAGTATACACAAGACCAGACATTGCCTTTGCAATTAGTGTGTTAGGAAGATTTCAAGCAAATCCAGGGAATGCACATTGGATAGCAGCCAAGAAAGTCATGAGATATTTGCAAAGAACCAAGAGTTTTATGCTGGTTTATCAGAGAGAAGAAAGCTTGGAGTTAGTTTGATATTGTGGTTCTGATTTTGCAGGTTGTCCAGATGATTTAAAGTCTACATCAACATATGTTTTCTTGCTAGCAGGAGGAGAAGTTTCATGGAAAAGTTCAAAGCAAAGAACTGTGGCTGCTTCAACAATGCAGGCTGAGTTTGTTGCTTGTTATGAGGCCACCATCCGAGCATCTTGGTTGAAGAACTTTATAACAGGTTTGTGTGTGGTGGATTCGATTGCTAGACTTGTGCAAATTTTATGTGATAATAGTGCAACAATATTTTATTCTAGAAACAACAAGAGGTCAGCTAGTACAAAACATCTTGAAATAAAGTTTCTGTTAGTGAGAGAGAAGATGAAGCAAGGCCATAATCGGATTGATCACGTAAGCACGCGTGACATGATTGCTGACCCTTTGAATAAAGCAATTCCCAACACTATATTGAAGAGACATGTGACTAGCATGGGGATTTTGGCTAGTTTTGATGATGCAGAATAGTGGGAGTAAATTTGCAGTTCATTTTCAGTTACTAGATATGCATTGAGGTAGAATTTTTATGTTTTGATTTTGCTTAACTATTGAAGTTTCATATTTGGTTGATATAGTTTCTCATTATACTTCAGTTAAGTATTATTTGTCTTCATGCTTTGTTTTAGAAGCATTAAGTGGACCTGGTGTATCTCTATGCATGCAGTTCACATATAAAGAGCATATAGTGCATCTATTTAATTTTTGTCTTGTGGGAGTTTCATGTGGATGAGGATTTTATGGTTGTAATTATGGATGCCTTGATTGAAACAAGTTAGTGTATTTGTAGTTCTGCATTTATATTCTCATTTGACAAAAACATGTTTAGGACTTTTGTTCTTTGATCTTATGGCGCCTTAAAGTTCGTGTTTGTTTCGAGTTCGAAAGGAGCTTATGTTTTAATGGTGTGTGTGCCCTAGTGGGAGAATCTAAGCATTATAAGGTTACACACTTGTTGAACTTGGCTGGGACTCTGAGACAGATACCAAGATCAATTAGAACAAGTATTCTTAAGCTTATACATATGTGATTAAGATATCCTATTTAAGCATTGAAGTCGTAATATAATTAGAAGTTGGACATATCCGGTTACTTGGTGATTAAGTTGAATTCTAGTAGGATTGTAATGGAAGTATCCTATTAGAATTACACCAACTAAAGCTCATTATAAATAGGATAGGTCCATGCCTCTGTTAAGCAACGAATTACAAAATTTCTTGAGCCCCATTGAGATATAGTGATATACAGAGCTTGTTAAAGAGGTGGAAGACTTGCCTACTGAAATAATGATTTCTTCTGCAAGTATTTTGTGTATTATTTGTATGTCTGCTAAGATGTTATAAGACTAACAGAAATCTCCCAGCTGCCACAGCCAATCCAAAATCTAGTAAAACTAGCTGAGCAGAAACCCATCATTAACCAAAAACCAAACAGAGCCCAATAAGCATGCAACCATCTGACCCAATAAGCACAGCGATTCATCTTGGAATCGTCCCCTTCTTAAAAGCTTTCTCCAAACCCAGGTGGCAATTGTCTTAAAAAAAACCCCAGAGCCTAAAGTAATCATTGATGTGGGGTGAATCTCTAGTAAACCCTATCTATGTCTTCTTGATTCTACCTAAAGATCTTAGGTCCTTCTTTTTCTTTTTAGTAAATTGAGTTTAGACCCATAAAATTCATTTTATATCACCTACAACCCTTCCCTTTATTTTACTATTTAAAATACCTAATTTTTTCAAATAATACCCGATGACTAGGATCCAACTAAGCAAGTTACCTAATATAACTTAAAATCTAATTTATTGTATTTTTCAGATTCCAAAACTACCCTTATTTATAAGTTAATGTGTTATGGGTGGTGTAACTAATGACACACGTTGAATTTGGAAAGATCTCCAAATGGTTGTAATGAATGTAGGAATTAATTTAGAAACTTATTGGAAATTAAATATTAAATTCAACATTAACGTATTAATAATCTATAGGTGATTAACTTTTTGGTATATTTAATAAAAAAATTATGTTGTTTTTCTTTTATGAATTATACGACTAGTAATCTATTTTATTATAGTTTTATGAATAATAGTGTACATTCTAATTATGTTAAAAAATAATTTGATAATCTATTTATTGTTTGTTTTTTGAAAAACAATTTTTTTAAGTGAACCTATTTTTTCTCTAAATAATGTACCTATTTTTTCTGAAACCCTAATTTCTCTAAATAACGTACCTATTTTTGCGTCTTTTCCAATTTCCAATTTTCTGAAACCCTAATTTCACCCCTTCTCACTCCTCGCTGTCTCTCTAATTATGTGTACTTGTATTGTTCATGAGGCTACTGCATTTGCCCAAAAGCTTCAATCTTGATGCTAAACTCGATCTCTAGACTAATACATAATCTAAGGTCGAGAGCCTATGACCCGATGTTCAACTTCAAAAGAATTTAACATCTGCAGCAAATATATATAGCCAAGAATTTAACATCTGCATCTCGAAAGAATTTAAGACTAGATCCCCACCCCAACCCACTCTCCAAACAAAACAAAAAAACCTTTGACCTACAATGAAACCTTGACCCAAAAAAAATTCACCATGAACTTTTCCGAAGGCCCCAACCCAGTCCAATTATCTGTCCAAAATTTAACAAAAAATAATACATAACAGTAAATATAAATATTTTGTATTTCTATTAACTCGTAGTTTTCATTAGATATTTTCAGTTTTCTATCAAATTACACATACGTAATCTTCATACATATTCTTCCCTTTCTGTATATTTCAGCAACCATATCCATATTCAAGACTAAAAGTCAATGGAAAACAAAGTTAAGGCCAAAGTCAAAGTCAATATTTTATTTAATTAAATAATTTATGCATGTATGATGTATGCACATATATGTATAATGGGATAAATTCAGAGAGGAACATCAGATGGGTAATCCTGAGGGTGTCTTTTAATCGCCTCTCTTAGCAATTTCTCCTGCTCACAGAGATGGGAAGGGGGAGAATCATATACATCTGTGAAAATGTCTGCAAGTGGAGGTTTGTCAACTTTCTCTGCTTCTTGGATTGCATGTAATATCTGCAACACAAAGGAATGATCTTAAATCGAAATAAACAATTCTCTAATCTGTTCAAATTTAACAAGTTTTGAAGGATTGGAAGATTTAAATACTTTCTGTTTTAGTTTCTTCCAAATGAATGAAAATTTTCTATTTTTACAGGAATTCTGTGTAAGTAGGCCTAACCATATGGATCATGCATGAACTTTCATCTAATTTCTAACGGTTAATTTAGGTGCCGTACCCTAAATTTATTTTGTTGAGGTTTTTTAACAATTCTTGAAACTGCATTTACAAATTTACTGGAAAACAATATAAATTTCTCATTATTTATATCAGTCTATCTTCCAATGAATATAATTCTTCGTGGCCATACTATTAAAGATAAATGAGCTAGGCAACTTATCATTTCGGCAGGACTGTGCCTGCTTTAGAGGAAAAAGCTTTCGAAAAAGAATTTGAACTTGCATAATTACCTTCTGTGCTCCTAAAATTGGAAATTTTGAAGAAGGTAAGTTTGCAAAAACGTTAGAAAATAGAAAATGGGAAGCTGGAATGTTCCCAGGGAAACAACTTTCTCATACAAAAAGGAAGGTTCTCACTTATGAAGAACCTCACAAAGATTGTTTAAAACGAACTCAAGCTCCATGTAAAAGTCAATATTCTCTAAGTGCTGGATTCTATTGTGTTATTTCAAAGAGGTCATCTAATTCCTGTCTTATTATATTTAACCAAAAAATCTTTATTTTAATATTGGAAAAAATCTCCCATGACTTTTAGCAAAAAGCTCATCATTCCTCCTGCTTTGAGGCACTGCCTCAACTGCGGCATCACTAATAGTTTTTGAGCTGGAGAGAAAGTGATGAACTAAGGCATGGAAGAAGAGTTTCTGATTTCTAATTGTTTGTTGTTTTTCAAGTTGTTCCAGACATGATAGTAGGATTTACCTGCTTTCTAGCACTGTTTCTAGCCTCTAATTCTGCCTTATCACTCCAACAACTGTTGTTTTCCATCCATTTTCTAAATCGGGTTACAGGGTCTCGTTCCATTTTCCACCATTCAATCTCTTCGACTGGACGATACTTGGTCGAATCATCTGACGTGGAATGGTGTCCCACTCGATACGTTAATGCCTGCCAATGGAAAAAATCAGAAGTTAAAGAATCTACGTTTCAACAATATGCCTCACAAGACCAGAAATCAAACAAGAATCCCTTTTTTTTACCTCAATTAAGATTGGTCTCTGTTCTCTGATAGCCATGTCACGTGCTGCATGAACTGCACTATACACGGCAAGTGCATCATTACCATCTACTCGGATGCTTCGAACTCCATAAGCCCGACCTTTGACAACAACACCATCACCTGAAAATAGAAGAAACCCCAAAATCCCCCACCCAAAAATAAGGATAAAAACATTACTTGCTTCTAGTCATCAAGAGGCTTGTTGTGATACAAATATCAAAAACAAGTACAAGCATGAACAAGCAGAGAGGAAGAATACTCCGAAACTGGTCTGAAGTAGGTGTACTGATGGCCCATCCATTGTTCCGACAGAAAAATATAACTGGAGCCTCCGTAACAGCCGCAAAATTCAAAGCAGCATGGAAATCACCCTAACATTATTTGATATATTAGAAACAAAATAACCAAAACCAATGACCTCTAAATTAAAGTGATGCCCATCACTGTGAATTGCAAACATTCCATTTTGTTTTATCATCTCTCCAGAAAGAATTCATCCCCTCTCTAACTAGACTCCGACTGGGGTTATTGCAAAATACACTAAGTCGTTACTAAAGTGGATTTACAACTATATTGCAATGATGTTTAGTTTGGTATCAATACGATACATATATTCAAATACTATGATATTTCAATAACAGAAACATAGGAGGACTTAATAACCATGTTCCACTGTTCAAAGCTTCTAGAGGTTTGAGGCAGGAGGATCCTCTTTCCCCTTTCCTTTTCACCTTGGTGATTGACGCTCTAAGTAGGTTCATAGAGAAATCTCAAGAACTGGACGTGTTCCATGGTCTCGTAGTTGGCCATGAGAGGGTGGAGGTGTCTCACCTCCAATTCGCAGACGACACTATATTTCTTATTGGGGACAAGCTGGAATACTGGCATAATTTACTCGAGATGCTGGACTTATTCTGTTTTGCATCAGGGATGAAGATCAATAAACCAAAATGTTCATTAGTTGACGTCAACTATAACGACAGGGAGCTGTCCAGGTTGGCTGAAGATTGGGGTTGCGAAGTGGGGGTTTGGCCGATGTCGTATCTGGGTCTTCCTCTTGGCGGGAATCCTAGAGCCCTTAGTATTTGGAATCCGGTGGTGGAAAAGGTGGAAAAAAGGTTGCAAAAATGGAAAAAGGCGTGTTTATCCAAAGGTGGTCAGCTTACTCTGAGTCAGGCGGTTTTAAGTAGTATCCCTATCTATTACTTGTCTTTATTCAAGATGCCGACCCGAGTGGTGCAAACTGTGGAGAAGTTAATGAGAGACTTCTTGTGGGAAGGTATGGATGATGGGAAAAAAAGACATTTGGTGAACTGGGAGGTGGTGGGTAGTTCAAAAACTAAGGGTGGCTTGGGGGTGACTCCTTTGAAAGCCAGGAATGCAGCCTTATGTGCCAAGTGGCTATGGCGTTTCACAAATGAACCGAATTCTCTTTGGCATAGGGTAATTAAGAGTATTTATGGGATGAGTTATAACGGATGGGACGCAAACTTTGTGTCCTGTGGCTCATGCCATAAACCGTGGAAGGACATCTCCAGAGGGTATACCCTTTTCCTTAAAGGTTGTGTTTTCGTAGTGGGCAGCGGGGATAGTGTGAGATTTTGGGAAGATGATTGGTGCAGGGGAGGTGTGCTCAAAGAGGTTTTCCCTAGACTTTTCTCTCTCTCTAGGAAGAAACAGTCCAGCATTTCCTCCTCTGTGAGTACTGGAGTGTACCCTCATAATTGGAATCTCGACTTGAGAAGGAATCTTACTGTGGGGGAGATTGATGAGGTGATTATATTACTGGACATCCTGGATGGTGTTAGATTGGTTCCCTCTAGACTTGATAAAAGAAGGTGGAAGCTTGATCACTCAGGTTTGTTCTCTTGCCATTCGTTTTGCCCCTTCACTCAGAAGGACGAGTCCAAGGAGGATTTCTCTCCATACTCTCAAATGTGGAAGACCAAGACAACACCAAAGGTTAAAATTCTTTTATGGCAGGTTGCTCGTGGGAGAGTCAACACGTGAGACTTACTGCAGAGGCACCATCCCTTTATTTGTTTATCTCCCCATTGGTGTGCTCTCTGTAAGTCTGATGGTGAAACTATGGACCATCTGTTCATCCACTGCCCTAATGCTCTTAAGGTGTGGTGGTTGTTGCTGGGGGAAGTTAATGTCGTTTGGGTTACACCTAAAGGTTGTTTCGAGTTGCTATCGTGCAAGATGGATGCTCTGGATAGAGGGAAGAAAGCTAAAGTCCTATGTGCTTGCTTGTTGCAGGCTATGATCTGGAATTTATGGATGGAGCGCAACAGGAGAATATTTGATGATTATAAAGGTGTAGGGGCAAGTGAGTTGTGCGAAAGAGTGAAGTTCTGGGCGGCCTTGTGGGCGTCCATCACTCTTGTTTTAGAAATGTGGCTGTTTCATCTATTATGCGAGACTTATTAGGGGCCGTGATTTGATGTTTGCTTGTGCAGCATTTTCTTGTTTTTGCCTTTAGCTGTTCCTTTGGTGTTTTGTTCAGTTTCTCTTGTTTTGTGCATTCTCATGTGGATCCCTTACCCACATCTGCCGTGTTTTGTTACCCTATTTTGAATATAATGTTTCTATTCAAAAAATAATAACCATGTTCCACTTGTTCAAATATTTTCACCTCAGGAATATTAAAAAGGGAGAGAGGTGGTGGCAGTTTTTAGGTTAAAGTTCAGTAGTATTTTACCTCGCTAGTGCCACCATCACCAACATACGCAATTGCACATGCATCTTGTTTTTCCATCTTTAAGGAATACGCAGCACCAACAGCTTGCGGTAGTTGTGTACTGGAAAGCCAAATAAATTATTTGTGGTGTGTGATCTTTATGAGTTAGTGAAACACTTGACAACGTTCAGCCCCAAAAAAATAATCCTGGATAATAAAAAATTTATATCTTACGCCACAGTTGAGGCTACAGTGACATAATTGTGCTTGTTAGACCCGTAATGGATTGGCATCTGCCTGCCTTTCCCATAATCAGCTTTGTTACTGAAACACTGGTTTGCAAATTCTTGTATAGTGAAACCACGCCATAATAACACTCCAGCCTCCCTGTACTGCATGCATGCCAAAGAAAACTCTCATATTATTCTCAACCCCTCGCATGAAAAGCTACTGAATCATCTGATAAGGCAAAAGGAATTAAAATCTTAATGAGCAGGATTGCAGGTGTGGCATATGTACATGGTAAAGAAAGTTCTTAGATGCATATATGTGGTAGAAACCTGAGGAAAGACAATGTCGTCAATTGTGAGTGCGGCAGCAGATGCAATATTGATGGCCTCTTCTCCAACTGCAGTCAAATAGAAGGAAATTCTTCCTTGCCTTTGTGCTTCATAGAAAATGGTGTCCATTGTCTGGAGAGTAACCATGTCGGTGTACATTTTTATAGCGACTTCTTTACTGACCTATTTAAATTGGTAACCCATAAGTCATAAGGTTCCTACGGGTTTTATTTATGTTTATCAAGAAGAACACAAAAGCTCCTTATTGGAAGCAAGGCAGAGGGGGAGTACAATACCTCTACATAGTTACTGGATGAAATTCGGTTTCCATTTTCATCAAGGACCCGATAGCAGCATTCCCGCTCATCAGCCGTCTCAGATATGAACCTCAATTTAGGAGTGAATTTGACCTTTCCTTCTGGAAGCTCTAAAGCCTGTCATAAAAAGAGATCTTTAGCAAGTATATGTGTATATGTGCGCTGTGAAAGCTCAAGGGTCCTCTCTGAAGCAAATTCAAGAAATTATGGAAGAGTGTCTCATCTTCTAATTCATTCAAGATACCTATAGCACCTCAACTGGTCCTAAAGTGCAGCAGTAAATCTCTGAGAAGTAACAAAACCAAAAGTCATCACCAGGGAGGTACAATAGCAAACTATTTTATTGTTGTATACAACAGATCAAGTGACCTTTTGGAGTATTCTTTCCATATGCTGTGATACCTTTTTGTCAGAGAAACGAGAAAAAATTGCAAGGTGCATGTTTAGTTTTACCTAGTTTGTATTAAACTTAGGTGCTTGCTTATAGTTCTCTGCAGTACGCATTAAAGTTGAGGTTGAAATGTTCGCAAAGTGATGGCAATCAAATGCCAAGGCAACGAAATAAATGAGAGGAAAATATAATTTGGTTTAAAAAAGTCCTTAATTTTGAATTTGCTGGATGGAGTGTTCAGGAGTTTGAACTTATTCAATGAAATTGCTTATGTTTTACAGAAAACTTGGCTTCGGTAAGAAAAACCAGAGGTGCGAAAGCTGCATCTTATGCACACATACTGAAAAACTGTAGAAACCAAATTTGCAAAAAATTGGGAAAGGGGTCAAATTATCCAATAAAAATCGGAAAAAAAAAAAAAAACTAATACCAGTGAATCAGTGCGGCATTTTAGCACAAGGAGAACGCTTCAGTGTTTATAATTACAAACAGTAGAAGCCTACTCAAACTGAAAGAGTAATGTGTGTGGATTATGCAAAACTAAGGTTCTATTCTATGATTAACCAACCAATTATTGAGCACTTACAATAATTTAAAGAAAATAAAACGCAAGACACATTTGCAGGCTCCAAAGTTATATAGGAAGCTGAAATTGAGTTGAGCGTTGGGGTTTTAACAATACCTGATTGTCATCAACATTATTCGCCATCTTTTCTGCTTTCACGGATTCAAAGCGACGGGAGCAGAAATGGGTTGATGAATTGATGAAATCTCCATCAGCGACTGGGAGATTGTGAGCAAATGAAGCAGCAAATTGACATCTTTTAACAAACGAGTAACTCCTCCAAGAGCTGAGATTGTTGGTAACCAAGAGCAGAGATTTGAAATGGTTGACAATCGTCCCTGATTTCCTCATCCATTGATGCATTTCAACAAGACCAACCAAAATGGTGCCAATTTCTATGTTCGTTTCTGGGTTCTCGTTTCTCAGAGAGATAGAAGGAGAGAGAGAGAGTGAGAGGGGCCTGTCAGTTGTCAGTGTCAAATCAGAAGATGCCTTTCGTTTTGGCACGAAACTCAAATCCTCGTATTATTTTGTTGTACCCATGCCTATGCCATGCCTACTCGGCAAGAGTGCCATGTCAAGTCTGAATCATCTACCCATCCCAAATTCTATCTTCTCGTTTTCTTCCACTTGTATTAACGACACCTGTCCTCCAAAAGCCATGTGATGCACGTAATGTCCGTCCTTTTTAGACCCTCGACATGTCAAGATAATGATTTTGTTCGGTGTATGTATCTATTGGTTACTCTTTAAGTTTAAACTCAAACTAGCCTTTGTTGTGTGCTGATTGGAATTTTTACCCTTTTTTTTTTATTTCTTTTAATTAGTTAAACATATGAATATATAAAAAGAAATTTAAAAAGGAGAATGGTGTAGGGGTCATCATTAGGCCCGCGAGCCCATGGCCGATGGGGGCCCACCCGGCCCATCGAGAAAAAGCCCAACTCGGCCTGTTATGGACTATGGTTCGGCCCGGCCCATTGTTGAGTGGGTTGGGCTTGGGCTTAAGTGTCTAAAGTCCGGTTCGGTCTATAGGCCCAGTTCATTTGAGCTCAAGAAAGCTCGGCCCGGCCCGCCCATAAAAGCCCAGGCCACGGGCTCACATACATATAAATAAATATATGAAAAAACCTAAGTTAAATGAAAGATTGAGAAATGTTATAAAACTAAAGAGATTGTGGAGAGAATTTAGAGGCAGAGAGAATATATGATCAATTTTTATATCTCAAATCTTATTCAATCTGTATTACAAAGGAATGGTGAACCCTTTTATAGGCAAAGCCTTAGTTACCAGAGAAGGGAGGCTTCAGGAAGGTGTAAGGAAATTTCCTTCCAACATGTGGGCTTCATTCTCATCATTTTACGACACTCCCCTTTGGAGACCACAATGTATGGAATATGCCTCGTTAAAAACCTTGCCAGTAAAACTCAGTGGGACAAAAACTGGTCGAAGGGAAAAAGAGTGCATAACCATATGTAACATAAAATTCTGTGTATACTGACATGCGTGCGACACTGCCTTGTTAAAACCTTGCCAAGAAAAACTCAATGGAATAAAACCCTAGACGAAGGAAAAAGTGTACAATATGCGAAGATCTTTATTGAAAGCACGCTCCCCTTGATGCTTGGCAAAATATCTTTAAGCCATACTGTTGATCATCTTTCTAAATGTCATAGTTGACACTGCTTCTGTGAGTCAATCTTGTAATATTGTTGGATGCTCCCCCTGAAGAATATCTCCCCTTGATATCTTTATAAATATCTTTCCAAAGGGAAGATCTTTCGAACTGACTGAATGATGTAGCCATCAACAATTTATGTAGTTGAGTAAGCAAATATATTTCTAGTGGGCTATCTTTATGTAAATCATAGAAATTTCCAGAGTCTGCGTATCCAACAAAACTTGGGCTATTTGTAAGTTCACTTGAAAAGAATATGCCCATATATGGTTTTATGCATAGATATCATTAAATATGCCTTACATCATCCGAAAGTGACGGCGATGGAGCTGAGCTTTATCTGGAAAATACAATGTTCGGTCCAGTATACTTCCGAAAAATCCTTTTAAGTGCCCAACAAATAATTCACATAAAAATGCTTCAAAACCTTCTTAGTATTAGCAAGAATCTCGTTGGCATAATGCTCGATCTTCATGCCAAGACAAATATTTCTTGAACTCTTCAGGAGTTTTAACCAAGTATTAACTCTTCTGGAGTTTTGATCAATTATCAACTCTTCAGGAGTTGTAATGTGTTGCAATCATATCATAATTAATGTACTCAATGAGACAATTTATACATATTACTATTGAGTACAAAATTTGTGCTTCAGGCACATGTCCTTCAGAGACTTGCTTCATGCAATTTCAATGCTTCAGGGATTTTACTTAAGGGATTACACTTCATGACACATTGTATAGCTGTATATCCAGCTATTTGTTCTGCATGTACATTTTTAGGGAATCGCTTCTGGCGATGTTCCGTGCATTTAATAACCCTTAAAGATAACATGTTGGTCTCCATAAATGTGCAATAAGAAAGCATGATTGCATCCATAAGTCTGGAGAACCCCAACATTCCTTGTTTCTACCAGAAACATTATGTCATATAAAGTGAGTATATTTCTCTTTATTCCGAACACCCAAGTAAAATTTTCAGGATTAATATCATTCGGGGTTCGTACTATGGGTTTGTTTTTATTTTTCACGTTCATTCTCATCTATAATGGAATTGCCTCTTTCCATTTTGGCCAATGATATTGTCGACATTTGATAATAGAACGTGGTTCCAATTAACACAGCCCATTGATGATTTGAGTAGCTACTCCAAAACCAAAAATTGTCATTCATCAATTCGTGATCCCACCATTCTCATGTGCATGCGCATGCATCAATTATAAGCATTCTTTTGGGTACCCAAGCCACTTCAGGGGGCTTTTATTGTCTCTTTCCAAACATGCATCTCTTATATGATGAATTATGTGAGAATGTGGATCATAACCTCCAATGGAGCGTTATTTTACCGTAGGGCCTGTATAGTCTCCATTTACAGAGTTGGAACATTTAGAACCCATATATCTGTCATGCTGCAGGCATGCCACAGATTAATACATGCATGTCAATTAATTTTCCTTCTGGGACTTTAAACCATATAATTTGCTGCTCATTAAGCGTGCATCGTATTAATATTGACATGTTAAAGGATTGTCCTTCCGGGACTTCAATCCATATCATTTGCTACGCAATAGGCATGCATCATATTGATCACTGCTATACCCATGTTCTGTTCTTATGGGACTTTAATCTATGCAATGTATCATTAATGTATCCAACTTGCAATCAGTGAAATTTGCATTAATAATTCATGAATTCATGAATTCATATCAGAATGATACAAGCCATTCTTCTGGAATGGTCATAATATAAGTTGTTCTTCTGGAACGATCTATAATGCAAGTCATTCTTCTGGAATGGTCCTTTGCATGGCGTTCTTCTGGAATAGCCTTATCTCCCCATTTGGTTACCTTTAAGGATGTCGTATAAAATATCAAAATAAGAGTAAAAACATGAAATAACACAAGTGTTTCTTACATCCTTAGGTGGGAGAAACTTTGCTCAAATATCATTCAAGCTCGTATCGGCTCAGCAAATCTAATGCAATGCTTGATGATCCAGTTATATCCTGCAAAATAAAAATCACAATTCTTCTATCTCTGTCAAAAAAATACCCTCAGTGTTAGGTTCACTACATGGATTTGTTCTTCTGATGGTGGATCTGAAGAAACAAAATCCCTTATGAATAGAGAGTTATAAAAAGAAAAAAAAAGATACGAAGAATTTTGATATTCATTGCAAGGTAGATAAGAAATCAGGGAAGGAAACTAGTGAGGTAACAGACAACAAACTCTCATTTCTCCTAGCTTAGAAGAACTTCAGGAGATCAGAGCATGTGGTAGTCCTTACAGTTCACCGACATCGCTGAAACGTGATCATGGATAGTCTCGCTTCCTAAATGGATGATCAGAGATAGTCTTGCTTCTCAAGCACATCGAGTGCTCACTGATAGGAAAAACAAATGGATATTGCATCACTAGATATGGAGAAAACTGGAGAAAACTGGATGTATTCTACAAAGAAAATTTCGTTAGTAACATATTTATACACAAATTAGAGAAATAGTTAGATCCGGTGAATCTCAAATTAACCACAGAAAATTGTGAGGTTCTCTAGATGCTTTTGAAAAAGTAGCTCCGTGAAATCCGCAAAGCAAAATCGACTTTGACGAAAATAGTCCTTGAAAACCCCTAAAGTGCCAACAAACATTAATGGAGGTCACGTGGGGCTCGTTTGGTACACAGGATTGTCTTGGCATGGACTATGCTTAGGGACTGTCGTGGCTTGGTCTAAGTTGGATAATACTTATCCTGCGTTTGGTGTACGCTTGGACTAGGACTATATTTTTTTATTTTTTCAAAACTATCTATGTATATGTATATATGTATAAATACATATATTATGTATGTGTACATATGTATTTTATAATATATGTGACATGTATGTGTATATACATGTATATATGTATATTATAAATAATATAAACATATATATATATATATATATATATATATATATATATATATATGTACACATACATGTATATATATTATAAAATACATATATATATATATTATATTATATTGTACACATACATGTATATACATGTATATATATTA